AGAAGATCCCAGTCTGCTTTTGTTACAGCAGCCATTATTTCACATTTCCCATTTCCTTTAAATCAAGTTACCTCTTTCTGCTTGAATCCCAGGTGAATGACCATACCTTTTTAGAAGTGCTTTTACCACCTCATGATCCACCTGGTTACTCTTTTTCCTTTCCTATAAAAACCTTTCTCAGAGTTGCCTGTTGATGCAGTACGTTGTACAGCTTTCTCTGGCCTACTGGTATGACCCAGACAATAACATCACTCATGCTTGGTCTTTGTGACACTGTGTTACTGAACCCTTCACTTGCTAAAAACATGCATTAAGATGCAGACTGGATCAAATCTTCTGTGTATAATAATCATCAGGCATGTGTATAACTACTCCAATAGTTAATAGGTTCTATTGAACACAACATCATTACGTTTAGTTAGACACCCAAAAGTTTTACCTGGAGGTCAATTTCTTCAAATTTTCTTCTTACTGAGCCTGTATCACCTTTTTCTTCACCTGCAATTTGAAGGCAAATATTAAATATAACATAGTTGAATCCCAAACAGAAATGCTTTAAGTGTTCAAAGAGCTGTGTAAGTTATTGTCTAAACTGTTTTCATTCTGGAAAATATTCTTCTACTGTACAAATTCTAACCATATTACATTTCCATTTCAATTCCAATTGAAAAGCATTGTTTGTGTGTTCATAAATTACTGGAGTGGAGGAATGTGAGGATATCAATGCCCTATCCCTATGAATCTAATTTCTAGATCTTGCAGCACTTAGAGGCAGCTGGAACTCATGAAGGTTTCTACAAATCCTCTCCCGTCTCTTTGTGGACCATTCAGAAGAGAAGTGTATCATCATTTTATTGTATGCTGTAATGAAAACACCAGGGTACGAAGAACTTCACTAATTTATCCCACAAGTGCAAAAGACAAATGACACAGAAGCTAAGCTATAGATGCCACTGAAATATTTTTCCTATGTTTCATTGAGCAGGTAGAAAAAAAAGTCCTGCTTTCTTAATTGGCAGAAACTATTTTATCATTCAAATACTTATTTGAAATTATCCTCTCAAACAATAGTGGGAAACATTTCCCTCAACATCAAAGTAATTGTCAGATTTCGAGGCAGCTATGTAGATGGGTAAGCTTATTTATTACCAGAGTAATTTCAGCTATTACTTGCTAGCTACTGCCTAGCTACTGCATAGTGTAATTTTTGAAAAGTAGTAGAAGTTTTTATTTGCTCAAGAATCAAAAATGTTGAGTAATACCAGTTTTAAATATTTGAAAAAAAAAACAATCCCAGTCAAAGACAGTTGCCACTGATTAATGCAATCAAATAATTACTTGGGAATATAAGGTCAAAACTTCCCCAGAAAACTTCACAAGACTGATGCCAAAACATTTACAAACATTACTGAAGAATTGTTGCAACTGACTGCAAACCTCTGCTTACCACTCCCCTAATATTTAATGTATCTATTTCAACTATTAATAAAACTTCTACTGACACCTAGGCCAAGGTTTTTATTTCACTGTTCCTTTCTTTATTAAAAAAGGACAGTTGAACATATTTCACATTGACTTTCTAATGTATCAGGAAGTCAGGACTGAAATTTCAAAGAGGAATATGAATACTGATTTCACAGAACTACCTGTACCTTAGACTCTTGCTATTCCTATTCTCTGCCTTCTGAAAGGGTACAGAACATGTATAAAAACTAATTTTACTATATTAGAAAGAGATGAAAAACTTATTTGCAATTTTCTCAAAGAGTGAAAAAAAGAATAGATAAGTAGTAAATTAAAAACCCACCTATATCAGATGTATCCACACCAGAGTTCTCAGAAGATTCCTTAAAAGCACATTAAAGGAATTTTAATACGTTGTAGCTTAAGCTATATTAATTAGCAAGTAGAATTTTCTTCTTTTACTAGTTGCTCAATTATTTTTGGGCTGGTGGTAGCAAAACACAGTTACATTCTACAAATTCTGTCCAAATCACACCATCAAATCTATACACAAACTTGCTTTGAGTCAAAAGAAGCTATTCTAGACTACACAGATTTTACAATTAAAAAAGTTAAACCCACATATTGTCTAATGAAAAAGGCACTTGAAGCCTTTATCCAGCTGCTCTTTCCCTCTTCAAATAAATCTAATAACTCATCTGAAATCCATGACTGATATTGTGGTACAGGACCACCTGCTTCTCAATAATTTCTTAGCTTTTGACTACATAACTACATTTTCCCATAAAGGCTGTCATAGGATGGTTGGGGTTTGAATGGACCCTGAAGATCATCTAGTACCAACCCCTCTGTGATGGCCAGATTGCTCAAAGCCTCATCCAGCCTGGCCTGGAACACTCCATAAAAACAACGTGGTGTGTATATGCAATTGTGGTGCCATACCTGATCTACCGTTGAGTGTTCATCTTCAAAATCACTGCTCTGTTGCTTTGATGTTTCTTAGCACGAACGGGAGGAAAAAAAAAAGTTCTATTACTTATATAATATTTATCCTCTCTTGTCATTTTTGTTGTAAGTTTCTTTTATTTTCCCTCTATTTCTATCCTATCACCTGTGGCTCTAGTTTGGTTTCTTTTCTGACTCACTCTGGTCAATCACACTACTGTGAAACACTAACCAAAGTACTCCAGCACACTTCTTATCACAGTTGAATAGTGCAGAAAACCTCTTTTGTGTGCTTTATGTTCAAGGCACCTGTGCATATCTTCTAGCACGGTGTGTACTATTTTTACAGCAGAGTGTGATATCCTTGTTGGCTCAAGCAGCTTTCAAAGTTGGCTCTTCATCATTTGATTATTCCAAAATAAGTTTATTATACTTTGAACTTCTTTACATGAAATTGAACAAATTTTACTTTATCATCTGAGAGTTAATTAAGGGTATCCCCTCTTCTGCTATTTACTGAAATAAAGTATAAACCAATAATTTGCACAGGACAAATCCTGTAAAAAAAAGCCCCATGTTTCCCTCAAGTTTGGACACAGACCACTGATAATTATTCTAAGCAGAGTTTTCCAACCAGTGGCTATAAAACAACACTCTCATAAAATTTGTCAAGCATATAACTAACAGGCTCTGGCTTAAGGTTGTAACCGTCTCTAGAAATTAAATCTTCGTTATTTTGCAAGACACTACTGTAATACTTCCTTTAAAATATATTTTTTTAGAAGCTGAATAATGCATTTTCCAAACATATCTGGATTGAAAACACAGGAAATCAGAAGAACACAGTAGTGTACAGTTGAAACCCCTTCCTGAGCAAGGTCTATGAAACACCACAGAGGATGTTTCGTTTCAAAAAAATTCTCAAGTAAAGAAACCATTTTAAGCAGCTAATATATGACAGAAGTATCACTTCTCTTGGAGGCTGAAATTTAACATACCTGGTCCTCTCTTATTGAGAGATGCCATTTATTAAACATAAAAAGCTCACCACTCAAAAGACTGTCATTTTAATCAATAAAACTTGATGGGAGTGCTCGACATTCTATACAAATACTAAAACTTGAATCCAGCAAGATTCAGAACTGTGAGCTGAAAAAACTAACACTAGTTATATTCCAAGGGGAGGGGTTCATTGATAGGTATTTGGTTTAATGTTTACACGTAATGGCACACAACTTTATGTATCTTATTTGAAAACTCTTAGGTCTAATTAAGAGTAAATGAGTAAGTAAAATTTGTACATTAGTTTTAATAATTCAGTCAGAAATATCTTTTTTGGGTTGAGCATTTTGGGCGTGTAGGTTTGTTTTTGTTTTTTTTTTAAGGCTAAGAGCAGCCACAACCAGACAGTTTCAATGTTTACTCATGTATCTTTGTGTTTCAAATGAAAAACTTCAGAGCAAGATATGGTTTTCTTAAGCTGGATAAATTTGATAAGATTCAATTTTTTATGGTGTATGTAAGTATACATGTATAAATACAAATCTATGCAGGCTTGTTTTCTTATAAGGAAAGCTGTTCACCCAACTTTCATATTTAGTTAGATATTTCTTCCCTAGGACAACTTAAAATAAAATTAAATAATACTTTCCTCAAGTTACATTAGAAGTGGCAAAAATACATATTACCATTTTTCTGCTTGTATGTCATCTGTAATGCAGCACACTAAATTTAAAATTAATAAGATCAAGAACTTGTAGCATTAAAGAACTCCAAATAAACTGAGAGCTTGTAAGACATTCAGACCCTGAATTAGATTAGCAAAATATTTCTTCTAAAAGACTTTAAATACCATATATTTGAAAAAAAACTTTCTTTCCAAGTCTTACTATAGCCAAATTTTTGTGCTACTTCAAAAAAAATTTAGCCCCATCAGCTAAATGGAGTAAAAGGTAAAGGTCTAGACCATCTGAAACATTTTGTACCAGACCCTCATTCCCCAGCTCTACATTTAAATTTCTTAGGCTGATTCAAATCCTGTATCTGACCACTTTGTGGACAAATTTTTTAATAGTGTTGTGCAGGAAGAGAGGTGCTAGGCAGTGCTTTGTCCTCTGGTGTTCCAAATAAAAGTTTCTTAGATGAATATCATAAAAAAACACCGTAAAACCCGCACTTCAAAACCTTGAGAGACTGGAGTCCAACATGCCTTCACAGTACTACACTGGAAAATTTCCCCATCATTTATCCTAGTAGAAATATATATATTTTAGTGGAACGTATAGCTCCTTTTCAGAAAAACGTTCAGAAATTACACCTCCCTCCTAAGGTGTATGATTTTAGACTTTGGTGCACAGACTTGTTTTCATTTCTATCCTGGAACTTGATTTCCAGTGAAGTAACTGGAGGCATCCTGATTCATTGAGTATACGGAATAATTTGCTAAATCTTTGATAGTCCATAAGCAACTTCATGAGTTTGTTTTTTTTTAGAACATATTTTTTAATATGCCCACTTATCTGGAAATTTTTAAAAAGCAAACAACATTCATTTCTCCACTACATGCACATAAGTTAGGGTTGGAATTTTTAAGATTTGATGAATATCTGACAAAATGGACAAATACAACAAATAAAATCTTTGATTACTTGATAAGGTATCAACTTGTTATGATAGCACCATGAATTATAATGTATTTATTCATCTTAAATATTTTAAATTACATTTCTGAATCCTTATGAACATAAGTACTGCTGATTTATTAGATGGTTTCTCACACAAAAGCCAATGAGCATCCTAAAGGGTTTAGCATGAACCTGAACATCTTCCTTTAAGACTCTTCGGAAAAGAATTTATATCTATTTATATTTATATATAATATATTTATATATATTTAATTTATATATATATAATAGCAGGGTTTTTTTTAAACACTTTACCTCTATTCCTTCGTCTATCCTTCTGCAATTAAAAAAAAACAAACAAAAAACAAAAACAAAAGTCAGAACAATCTAGGAATAGCAAAATAACATTAACCACTGCCTTTATTTACTTTGGTATATCCCACAACTACATAACTGTTCGATTTCCTCAAGTTTCCCATGGTCTGACCAGAAAAGCCAAAAGTATCTAATAAAACTTACCTATCATTCACTTTTGCCCTTATTGTTGTTGCTAAAATCACTGCAAAAGCATACCTTGGTCCACATAAGATTCTGACAGACAATTTCCTTACAGTCTTTAATGGATTTAGTCGGGAAACTTGTGCAGCAATGCTTAGTAGACTGTGCATGAGGCATTACCAGGAGTAGAAAGGGAACCATAAATACAGCGTATTTTTGGTTTCCATTCAATCCACTCTTGTTCCCTCAGACTGAATTTCAATCCTTATGCCCTCTGTGGGGTTCAGAACAGCTTCTGTGTTAACTACCAAAGCACACCATACAGGCCATGGGTTTACCCGACACAGATGACTGGTAAGACTGTAAAGATTCTTTCATTACTGTGGCATTATTTCACAGGGAAAATAAAAACCTAAAGATGAAACCAAGAAGCCCTGTGGAACTGGAGAGCTGATTACATGAACCAAGATAAATTGATCCAATGCATTAACTTCAATGAAAATATTCTGATGAATTCTAAATATACACATGCCCAACAGACAGCAACTTAAAAAAATTCTCTAAGTTTACAAGTGGTGCTAACCACTGATAAATGGTTATCTACTGTAGTCTAATGCATCTGAAAAATCTTAAACTATGCTAAAATCCTATTTTAAAGCAGGTATTTTCCTCATTAATACCTCTGAAAATATATGGCACAGCAAGATTAGAATATAATCCTATCTATCTATCCATACATGAAGAAATATTGCTGCGCTATGGTTCCATGTTAGGACTGTATTATTAAATACCTTAAATAGTTTCTCCTTCCATTTTTTAACATCATTCCTTGACACTTGCCCCCATTGTTTTGGTCCTAGAAAAAACAAAGAGTAACAATATTAACACATCTTTTCTTATAACACCATCTATACTGACTATCACTCTAACAAACAAATACTTAGGAAGAACATATTACAGAAAAACAAAGCATTATAAAATGTGAACAATCTTCACCTTATTTGCTGAAATAAAAATTTAGATGAAAACAAACCAGGAGAATATTGTAATTCAAGTTAACTGACAAGTCAGGCAAGGCAAGAAAAAATGCTGAGTCTAACAAGACTAAGCTAAAATCCAAAGAGCACTACAGCCCCATATACTACCAAGAGGGGGGGAAAAATGGGCAAATGCTTTTGGTTTTTAGATTTTAGCTGATGAATGCAGTATACATAGTATCTGAGGTTAGTTAAAGGCATAATTAGGGCTCTACAGGACTGAGATCCATATTCATTTCGTATTGAGCAGAGGTCACTAACCCAAAAGCATAACCAAACCTTTACAAACGCAAAGCTGTCTATTACAGTACTCTATGAATGTTTTCTCCCTCTTCCAAGGGATAATGCACACAAAATGTAAGCCTGCCAGTTTGTAAAAACCTTTGGTGCACAGCTGGTGACTTCTGCTGGGTCTGTCCAGTAAGATATGTTATAAATACAGGTTATAATATTGGCTTTTTGCAAGTAGTAAGATGAATGTTGTATGTATAATGTTAGAATGGCTTTGCTATGTGAATGCAGTTTTTTTCTCTCCTGCTATTAGCAAAAATTTAGGCATAAGTGGTAATAGTTGATATAGTATGTTTGAACTGCCTGTGGTTAGGATAACCCCCAGTGAACAGATGATGGGGACCCTGCTGCTTATCAACACTCACCGTCTGTGGAAAGGAGCCAAGGCCCAAATTAAAAGGGGGTAAGAAGAGGATTAAAACCACAAGCCAAGAAACACACATGCTCTAAAAAGGTGGACCCAAGAAGTGACCATGTTAAACAGTTCCTGGAAATTGTAAACTAGTTAATAGAAAATCTTGAATATGCATAAAGGTCTATGACTATGCATCAAGTAATGCAATTAGAAATGGTATATAAAGGGTGTTTCCAAGACACCAGGTATGTGCTCTTAGCAGAGTGCCAAACACCTGGCCATTTTAACCCTTTGCTTTATTGTCTCCTATTGTCTTTTTTTTTTAATTACACCTTCTAAAATTTACTAGGAAAGTGAACGTTGTTTTTCACAGAAGAATTCAGCTTTCAGAATTCTCTTTCAGCCCGTGGAAAAAAAAATGCTCACTCTAGAACATGTGAATGTTGAAAGCTGTGATCTGGTGAGAGGCTTGAACACAGAGAGAGAGATAGAAAGAACCCTTGCTTCCAGAGGCAGAGGAAGAAGATCCCTGCCTTTATACTAGAACAGCTCATCCTTAAAAATTGCACCTCATGAACTAATGGGCCAGGGGAAAAAAAGCAGTTGTAACAAGACTGCTCTGTCCACTGACCCATGTAGAAGCAGGTTTCTGGTGAGAACACAACTCATAAAAATTAAAACCGTATTAAAAGAGTTCACAGAAAACTCTCTCCCATAGAAACGACCCCATGGCATAGCAAAATAGACTCCTTTCCTAAGTGAACTGAAAATAAAAAAAATTAAAAGTGACACACTGACCAAAAACCCCATGTCTTTGTCTTCCTACATTGTCGGTGAGAAATAAAAAAAGGCTGGGGGGAGGAAAATTATTCTAAAGGTTTTAGTTCTCTTTATCACCTTTTTGATTCTGTTAATAAATTTTCCTTCATACCTTTTAAAGCGTTGTATCATCGATAACTGTGTTTTTCTCCTAATCCTTATTACACAAGCTTTTTAATTGTTCTTTCCCCCTCTTCTGCTTAACTATAACAGAGGAGAATGAATGATTTTTTTTGTAGATGCACTAGCATTTAGCCATTGTGAACCCACAACAAGGTATCATAATCCTCACTTCAGTGATAATAAAACCTGCCAAAAACATTTAATTTCCCAGAAAAGCCATCCAGATACTAAGTCACAGGTCCCAGTAAAACCTTGAGCAATATATTTTAAAACAATAGCTTTTTTTTTTCCTCAATAACCTTATGGAATCAATCATTATTGCTCTACAATGGATCAACCATTACAATGAACAACTGGATAAACATTGTCATGGGCTGACATGGTTTAGATTTATGTTAAAGACATGGGAGAACTCAATAAAAAGTTAAAGAGACTGTCAACCTACTCCACCCTGACGTTTGGCAGAGCAGTGTTCAGAATACTAAGTGGAGATGAAAACACACAATCCATTTATGTGTATCAACTCTTGCTAATGTCTCCATTTCTTCGCTTCCTCTCAGTCTTCTCCATTTTGATTCTTCTTCTTACAAGTCATCCAAACATTACCCGTTTTTATCCTGAACTTTGCTAATAACCGTTGTCTTGTCTAAAATGGAGGATGCAATAGATGAAAAGTGTACATATAAATAAACTCTTGGTGTTATACCAAAGTCTACATATGAGATATCATACCTAAGTGAATGGAATTCAGTAGCTGTTGCACTTAAATATTCTATAGCTGCTAACACTTGCATGCTTTACTAAGTCTAAACATACAGTATATAAATGTTGTAGCTTTAAGGAGTTCTTACCGTCAGGTGTATCATAAGTGAGAGTATCCATGGAAACAAGTAAGTCATCTACAAAAGGATGATTATACTAAATAAAAAGAAGTATTAAATATTAGAACAAACGATCAAAGCAATATCTTTAACGTCTGTTTTACATATTTTTTTAGGATGGTTTTATGTTTTATCCTAAGCATGAAGTATGTTGTTTTATTGGCTAAAGCTACAAGTCATTAATCTGGAGATATTATTAACTCCGGTTAACAGAAGTAATAAAGGAAACCGGTATGTTTGCATGTGCATAAGCCATTTAGCCTCAAGGCATAAGCCAGCCAGTGTCAAAACAGGGTTCCAGAGAGTTTCCGGAAGCAGTTAAGTCTCTCTCTTACAGTTTCACCCAAACTTCCACTGTAAAAGCTAAAAGCAGCCCCCACCTAGGGCAAACAGCTCATGACATGTAAAAACATCCAATGTGCCACCAGCCGAGAAAAAGCTTCTGGAGCCAGATTTGGCCCGATGTCAGCACAAAGCATGTCCCGAACGGGAAAGCCCACACACCCTGGGATAAACGCGATAGTCTGGGCACGGAGAAGGACCATTCCCACACTCTAAACACACAATGGCTTCTCAGGGAGGATCCAGGGAGGGAGCCCCCCACTTTCTGTAGTTTCATTGAAAAGCCCCGGCTAACGCAAGCTAATCGGGGCTAAGGACGCTATCAAGCCAGCTCGCACTTGTGACTAAGCAGCGTATCCAGCGCTGGCAGTCCCAGGTGGCTGCTGTGCGGCAGTATTCCCGGAGCTGGCCCCTGACAGCCCGCTCCCGCTCCTGCCACGGCACCGGAGCGCGCGGCCTAGCACACACGGCACCGCCGCTCCCAGTCCCCGCTTCCCCGCCCGCCTCGGGACGGCTCCCGGAACCCGCGGCTGCCCAGGCCCCGTAGCTCACCTGCTCCAGGATGCGGTTCATGGAGGCCATGAAGCGGGCGTTGCTGCGCCGCAGCCCCTCCCGTACCGCCGTGTTCCGCTCCATGGTGCGGGGCGCGGCCGCCGCCGGGACCCCCGCGCCGGCCACAGAGGCCGCCAGCTCGCGCCCCGATTCAAACAGCGCGCCGCCTCCCCGTCGCCGCCTCCTATTGGCTCCTGCTCAAACCGGGTCTGGCGCTGCAGCCAATCCAAGAGCGCGGTGGGCGAGCTTTGCATTGTGATTGGCTGGTGGCGCTGCTGCGTGCCCGATCAGCCCGCCTCCAAGTCCTGTCCCTGGGCGCCCAGCCGGGCGCGGCGCGGGGTCGCTGTTCCCCCGGGCACCAGGCCCCACGCACCAGGCCCCGGGCCCACCGGCGGGATGCCTCCGCAGGGGATGGAGGTGCCTCAGGGCTCTCTCCGGCCTAGGCAGCTCCTGGCAGAGATTTACAGCGCGGTGTGTCTCTGTGGGATTCGCCACAGGCGGCCAGAGGAGTCGGGGCTGAGGAATCTGGTGGTCAGTGGCCGGCAGCCAGGCCCTCCCCAGTCCCTCTCCAGCTGGTCCCCTAAGGCTGCAGGCTGGAGTTCTCTGCGGAGGAGTGGAACTAGCAAAGCCAAGGCATTACCTGCCCACTGGCTATTTTGGATACCATTCCATTCCTTCCCAATATTCTTCAAGTAACCATTGGCTTCTATTTATAGAAATAAAGATTTTTTTAAAAAGCAAAATACCATCAGTACATGAAATTCCCTAGAACCTCTCATTATAAAACCATTTGCCATTTTGGTAATGTAAAGACATGCATTTTTCATAATTCCTTATTGTTTAAAGATGGTCTGTATTTACTTTACTTATTATTCAGTAGTGTTTGTTTTGGTTTTTTTTATTTTTAATGATAGGACTTAAGAAAAAATGCATCATTTCATCCACATTTAAGCATTCTTACTACTATGCAAATGTGAAATTTGCACAGCTGACAAGTTCTGCAATAAGGCCTTACCCTGTTTCTGGCAGGTCTTACCCTTTTTCTGGTTCTTCATTAAGGACTTACCATTTTTCAAGGTATGATTTCTCTGCCACCGCTGCATGAAATACTGTACTTAGTGGTTAAATCATGTGTGTGCTGAGCAAGCCTGCTAGGAGAGTACTGAAGTGTCGGTTTGCAGGAAGAGAAAAGATGAGTGTGGTAATTTCAAGGTGACACAACAGGTCCCACTCCTAGGTTTGTCACTGTATTTCCACTAGGATGACTGCAGGACAAATAATCTTAAAAACCCCAAAATATAAGTGAGGAACATCTAATTCTATAGGAGTTATTTTCCTGATACACACCTGGGAGTAGATTTGTAGAAGCTCTCAATGCTTTCTCTTTATATTCACTTTGATGGAAGCTGTGCTTTGAATATAATAAAGCTTATATAGACTTCCTAAGATTTAAAAATAGGGGATAAAAAGTGTAACTACCCTAGTATGAATTAGAATCTCTGTATCACAGATTGACAAAATGGATGGGCACTCAGTAGTTTGAAGCAAGTCTCTATAACCTTTCCTTTCCTATCAGTAAAATATACTACTAATTTTGCTCCTTGAATAGATGGAATATAATTTTTGTGATATTTTCAGCATGGCCAGATATTGGGATAGTTTGGAATAGTAGTAGGGATTTATTAGTAGACAAGTAAATCCATACATACTCAGAGCAAGCTTTATATGATGTTCAGAGAATGAGACCTGGAGCCACACATTTAGGGAAGGATAAAAGGAAATAACACGTAACTAACTGTTCAATACTTCCAACTTTCAAAGTGGTAATCATATGGGAAGAAATGCATCATTAAAATTGCTTGTGGGGGGGGGAAATAAGCATTAGAATATCTCCTGTTTTTCACTGGCAGGTTTAGGGTCATCATGGCCTTCATGGTGGCATTCTGTGGTCCCCTTGAAGTGCTTTGATAATTTATGGTTGAAATACATTGCACACACAGGATGAGATTAATTACTTTCCTCTGACATTTCCTAGTTTAGGACTCACTCACTTTACAGCCTTGATGTCTTTTAATTCCTTAATGAGTAATTTCATACTAGAAATAATAGAAGTATCCTCTGACTTATTTTATATTTGAGGTAATCGCCAAGCTAGGAAAACAAGGTTATGATCCAGCTATTTCAGTTTCATACAGAAGTTACTTTTGTCTGTTTTGAATTCATGGTACACCTCAGCAGAGTGACAGGAGCACTCAAGTGCAAAAAATTTCTTCTACCATCTGTATGAGAAAATGAGATTGACATTCAGCAGCTGTGCATGAGAACTGTCCTAAACCAGCAGAACTGGTTTATTTGATATTAACTGGTATATTTGATAAGGTGGAGCCAAAAATTTTTAAACTGCATGGCCTTAAGAACCACAAAATCAACAAAGACTAGCTAACACTTGGGTCAGCTTATGTAGACTGCAAAGCAAGATTGTGGATCAAACTGCTGACAAGCTAAAGAATATGGCACAATGTTCACTGTTTACTTAGTAATAAGTAAACAGTGAACATTGTGCCATTTTTTGCTAGGAAAGAGAATGTATTAATATGATACAGAAATGGACATTTCAACAAGAAAACTTCTTTGGTGCCTGTGTAGCACCAGTAGCTCATCATCTGTTCTATCCAAGCTCTACATCTTCTGCCTTTCTGTTGAGTAGATCTGTAGAGAAATGTTTGACAGAAGATTTAATTTCAAGTATTCTTTGATTAGTTTGACTTGTAGAAGAATAGTTTGTGAGTTGAGTGTGTTATTGTTTACACTATGGTTTACTGCTATGTGTAATTGTTTTATTCATGGTGTTTATTCATATTTGGAGAGGCCTGTGTCCTCCCCAGCTCATCATTTAGTCCAGCCTCAAGCTGTATTTTATCCCTTTAATCCATTTATAACTTTTTTTAAAAAAAAATAAAAACATCTTCCCTAAGTGATCATTTTTACTATTCTGCTCTAAACTCCCTCCTGTCAGTCAGTATCCATGACTCCCTAGGCATCTGGAATAACAAATAATTTTCTGAAAGCAACCTGTAAAGAACCATATAAAAAGCAATTTGCACACCTATTTTCTGTAAATGTTGATCTTTAGATACAGCCCAAACTTCACATTGACTATTGAAATGACAAACTCCTCTCTCTTCAGTATATTTCTTCTGGATTGCATGCTGCTCTCTCTCTTTGTACAAGGGAGTATGAAAGCATAAAATAACTGCTCTTTTCCAGAAAGCCTTGCACAGCTCAGCTTGTGTCGAGCCAGTGAATATAATTAGAGATTCAGAGACTGTGAAAAAACACTGAGGAGAGTGGAGGGGGGAGAGCTGTGGGAAAGGGAAGCGTGAGCATCCCAGGGAAACACCGCATTAAAAGAGTCAGCACAGGCCAGGTGCTGCAGCAGGCACTTTGTGTCATTCCCTCTGCAAGGAGCCTTGCCTTCCCTGCTCTCTGAGAGGTGGGAGAGAAAGCACTATTCTACTCCTCCTTACTTACAACTCCATCCAAAGACATAAATTAGTTTCTTCACATAAGGCACTCCCTGCACGAGTGTCTGTTACACAGACAAATGTTTCCAAACCTTATCATAATTAAACACACCCAAGCACTCCATAACTCTGCTTATATAAAGCATAAAAGAAAAGAAAACATAAAGACAACCACACTTGGCCATCAGGAAGGCATCAAAAATCTTGCTTGTCGAGTCAAAAATGTTGCTGAGCTTCCAAACACAGTCCTGGGATGACTAGCACTGTTTAGGTCCCTATTTCTGAAAATTGTGTGCAGTCCTGATGGAAGCATGCTTGGAGCAGGATCTAAGGCCGCACTTGCTGGATCACTTGTTTTCTGAAGGCTTTGTACTGCCCCCAGTTGTCAAGAGCATGTGTAATTTTGTTTTGAACTAATTTTATTAGTTCCAGTCTAATCATTCCTTTGCCAGAATGTCACTACACTATTTTCATTTTTTGGTTCTGATCTACTAGATCTGTCTGGGCTGAAGCTAACTCTTTATAGCAGCCCTTTGGTGATAAGTTTTGGCTTTATGGCTAGAAGGAAGTGATGTTGGTAAGACACACAATAATTGTGCGGCTATTGCTAAACAGTGTTTGCAAACACAAGGCTTTTGCTTTTTTCCCCACTGTGCTACTCCTCTCCCACTCCAGTGAGAATGAGTAGGCTGGACCTGTGCAAGAAGTTAGGAGGAGACCCAATAAGACATCTGACCTGCATTCAGCAGAGGGATGTTCCATGTTATGCTCAGCAATAAAACCTGGGGTAGAGGAAGAAGAAGACAAGTTTTTTGGTTTTTTATTTCTTTCATTTTGGCCATTACTTGGAGACTTCTCTTGTGGGAAAGAGTAAGTCATTGCTTTTGCATCACTTAGTTCTCACAGGATTGTTTTCCCCCTTCTGTCACTTACTCAAGTGTCTTTGACTCCTCAGTTTTCTTACATTTTCTCTTCCTGTTCTCTCCTGTCCTGAGGTGCATGAGGATGCTTGGCTGCTGGCAGGACTCAACATACACAGGGTTATTTCTGCTTTATAATCTGGTTATTTCTGAAGCCTTTTGGTCACTGAATTATATCTGACTGCCAGCTCATTTATAAAGACTAGTCCCAAGTTTAGTCACTCTGTGGACAGAGGAATAAGCAATTACTAGGACAGAAATCACCATTGAAATGGTCAATCCTTTTTCCATCACATGAAGGAATGCAGAAGTGAGAACAAAAGAAATTCTTAATCATTTAGAACTAAGGGTATCTCAGGATATCTGATCTAATAGAACTGTATGACCATTGAAGCAAAGGATGAGAATTCCGTTAAAAAGGAATAAGAAATTCTTGTCCCTTTGACTACTCACCCTGTCCTCAGTTTTCAGCATCTGTTGAAACTGTCTGGATTGACTTTTGCTCCAAACTCTTCACTCTCTCTGGTGTTTTGTAGAAGTAGCTCTGTAGCTCCTGCTTAGGTTGGCAAAGAACTGTCACCAACATGCTGAACAAATGCCACAACTCAATAGTCACATCAGGCCTCTCTTGCATAGATATCAAACTGCTTCACAAAACATGGCAA